GTTTCTCTTTCTCTCCATCCCTCAGCTTCAAGTAAGAAAAGTTCTGAAAAAGATATTTGCCTTAGATTATCTTCAAGATTCAAGAGCATGTTGACCTATATTGTTATGGTCCAGCACACACAAAATACATCTACAAGTATAATCCTATTGCAAGAAAATCACATTTCTGACAAAGTGGAATTTGTTGAAAGACCAAAGCAGTGTTTCATGATTTCATCCTTTGATATAATATTCTGAAAATTTTCCTAGTTGATGGATTCTGTTCTTTTTCATATAAAAAGAACATCTACACACAAAACTAGATCTTTATCTTCAACTGACTGTAAATTAACTAATGTACTGCTTGATACATATTTATCTAGGCAGCTAAATTGTAAAAAAATATATATTTTTAATAAGAGGGTTTTCCCGCACTTCTTTGCATCTACATAAATATACATTTTGCAAAACTGAACGAAGTATTTCGGGTTCAGAAAACCGGATACTGTTGTTAGAATAAATTTCTCCTATATACTCAGATTAATGTGCTATTGAGTAAAACTGCTCTTTAATTTGAAAATAAATAATATTTGGTGAATGGTCTCATGTCATGATTGCATAACAGTATCCTTTAAAGTTCAGACATTACAGAAGGAAGCTCTATTACTCTACTGTAGCAAAAAAAAAGAGAGAGAGAGACTGGTAGCACCTTTTCTGATTAACAATTTTATATTCACATTTGTAAATGCTGCTGATGTTATTATCATGTGTCTATTTATGTATATTTTTTCGGCTACGCACACACACATATTTCTTTCTCTTGAAACAGCCAGGAACTGTACACAAAACACTGTTAATGCATCTCTGTACCAAAATTAAAAATAATACACAAATTTGGATATAGTTTAGAATGCAATAAAATCACTGTAAGAATCAATTCATTCTTACAGTTTTAAATTACCTGGTAAACAGATTTGTTTGTTGATGGCAAAACAACTTTGGGTTTTTGCAGAGTGCCCCCAGGAAGGAATTTGAAAATTGGTGTGCCACCACTGAAAAATGGTCACAATATGTGGATGCTCACAATATGTGGAGGGCTGAAATTGCCATGACTAAAAGCAAAGAGGACTCTCAACAGAACATGGTCAGGTACCCTCCACACTTGGTTGAAAAACAAGCAAGAAGCCTATTGCCATGTAAGGCAAGATTGGTGAAGTAGATGTAAGATTTAAACCCTGGAACTGTATAGTGGACTTGATTGCTAGACTTTGCAATAGCTAATTTTCATTATTAGAGCTTCTTGTATTTACATTAAAAAACTCCACTTATAAACTGAGCCTTCTCCTTGACTAGTCCATGCTAGATCCTGAATGATGGTTTACATTTTCAGCAAGATGTAGTGCTATGGCCTTAATGAAGATCTGACTTCATGAGTCAATAACACATGAGGCCACAAACAGAGTCTCCTTAATGAATCTCAATACCCAGGTCAACTTTAATTGAAGTAAGATTGATAGAGGGTTTTTTTTCCACTGACACAATTGATTCAAATGAATGGGAATAAAAATCTGATAATATGTTATTATAGGTGTAGATTGTTATTTGAGCTAAAGATAACAGCAAATTTCATCAGTTTATTGAAGATATGTAGATAACTACACCTATATAAATAGCTGCAAAATTAAAATATTTGCAAAGTCTTGATAAAAATATCAAATTGAAATAAGTTTGTTCATATCAGGATAGTCTGTGTCATTTTTTAAAAAACAAACAAGCAAAGCATTTCAGACTAAGTGTATATATTTAATATTGCTAAATAAATATAAATTATTTTAGTTGCACATCTACTTTTAAAATCTGTTTAGGGAATTTTTCTTTCTGTGGTGCTGCCCCTAATGTGATAATATGAAGGCAGGTAGAGCCCTCAGACCAGAACCTCAGTGTGGCATACATAATTCATAGTGATTTCCTGTTATCTCATTTCCATAAGAGAAACATTTAAAGCTGGAAGAAATATAGTCATCCAATGAGTTTCATGACTGAATAGAAATTTGAACCCGAGTCTCCTTGTTCTTTGATCAATAGTAACATCTTAATACTGTCCTGCTTCTTTTTGAGGTAGGCTTTCTACCTCTGCCAATTTCTTGTGTGACTTTGGGGAACCTGAATATTTTGTATATTCTTGAACTATTTCACAGTATAAAAAGTGTACCCTGATGTTCATTTTATGTAAGTTCTATCTGAGGATCAGCTTTAAAATTCTAATGGGAAATTCCTGGAAGCAGATTAAGCTGAGCTGTTTTTTGGGCTCAAGGCCATGTGGAAAGAAAAGCTACTTCTCCATATCCCTACCCATTAACGTAGCAAAAAGAAAGCATTTTTCAATCTTTAATGAACTAAGGGAGATGACAAGGATCAGCTATTTTTTCCAGGTAGTGAATTTCAACATAATAATTCATTCTAATTTCTAGTACAGAAGGATCTGCGGATCTAATTTGATTTTATCCTGGACTTATATATTTCAGATGATTTATATACATTGATTTGGATATACTTTGCTGTGGTTGTGAAGAACATAGATAAGTGATCAGTTTGTAGGGTAGTAGAAGTCTCAGATGCCCCATGACAAATCAACACATTACTTTTTATTAGCGTATTGTATTATCAGTATCAGAGTTTTCCATTGTTTGATGTATTCAAAGTAGATTTCCACTTTTAAATCACTGTGTTCAATAGCTATTTTCCATTAACTATATCACTTAATCATTCTTGGCCTATCCCTTCCACTTAAAGATCTGTTTAAAGGTCTGTTATGCTGTGTCTCTTGGCTCTGGAACTAAGAAATAGTCATATATATATATATATACTATGTTGTGCAATGCTCTCTTCCAATTAATTTCCCATTGAATAGAGGTTGAAATGGAGACTATTATTCTCTTGGAATAATGAATATAAGCAAAATGGAATTTCTGGGAGGTAATGAGATGGTAGCTGATCCCAGCAGGTGCCATCTTCCACACAAGCATCTCTTATGCCACAATGTATTAACTTTCTCAGATGACTTTTGGATAAAAAAATTGGTTACCAGAATTTTCACATGGATTGTAATGTAAAATTAGCAGTGGTAGCAAAACACCTAGCAAAGGGAGGGGGAAACTATTTATTTTCTTCTTTGGGTCTTTTCCTACTTCCTCTTTTGAGAATGTTGGTTCAGCCTCATACAAGAGCTCTCCTTGAAAAAGATTGAGTGAAAATGTGTAATGTAATGTAACAGCATTTAAAGTAAACACTACAAAAATGCTACAACATGATTTTTAAAATCTTCCAGCTTTACTGAAAACCATTTGGCAGTAGCACATATTTCTACCTTTTAGTTTAATTATTCTGGCAAAAAGCTCTAAAGTAAAAAATCCAGCCAAAGTCCACCTCCCCATTGTATTGGCAACCCAGGATGAATACTATGAAGAGAAAGAACTATAATTGTTCCAAGCATATAAACTAAGGGAAGGAACACAATGTTTTAAATCAAGCCTGTTTCTGAGATGAAAATTATCTGGAGAATTTTTAGTTGAATTTTTGGCCAAAAAGGAATCTTTTTTTTTCAAAGTATGGGTTTCATGGCTATTACCATTGGCTGATTTACTCTGCATGTTATTGCTAGTCCACATACATTGTCTATTTCTCTATGTTACTTACATGATTTCCCCAATATATGCTTTGATTCCCCCTACACAAATAGTAAATTATTTTTCCTTATATAGCTTTTTCTAGTATTTGGATATCTCTTTGGTCAGAAGGATATATCTATGAATGATGGAGATTCAGCTGAAAGCTTGCCTTTTACGAAGTTATTTTCAACCTCAACTTTTAGAATCAGAATTCTCTTTGATTGCTATACAGACACAGATAAATCATAGAAGTTTATCTTATACTCTATGTTGAACCATCTTCAAGATGTAATTTAACATGCACTGTAATATATCAGCTTCTATTTCTCCTTTCCCCTCTCCCTCTCCTCTCCTTTCCCCTCCCCCTTCCCTCCTGTTAATTAATTTATATTAATATAAATTATATACAATATATTTATATTGATTCCCATCGATACTTTTTCAAGAAAGAAACGATGTCTGCTTTACATTGCCAGATACCAACTTTTAGGAATTCAAGAAGACTTTGTTGCCTTCCTTCAATGAAGCTTAGAATAAATCTGATGATGTAAAACAAGACAATCCCTCCCAATTATACTATATAATATATTAGAATATATAGTACATTTTTATAATACTAAATTTGAAAAATCAAATATGCAATTGATGCAAAAAGTATCTAAATAATGGTTGGTCATATGATGTGCTTCATTCTCTATAATTATGCATTTTATTCTGATTCAAAAAGCAAAAACATCAAATTATTATGAAACAGTATAATAAATAATAATAATAATAATAATAATAATAATAATAATAATAATAATAATAAGAAGAAGAAGTTTGAAGGGACCTTGGAGGTCATCTAGTCCAACCCCCTGCTCAGGCAGGAAACCCTATACCAGGAGTGTCAAACTTGCAACGTCATGTGACATATTGTGATGTATCGCGACTTTTCCCCCATTGCTGGAGCTGGGGTGGGCGTGGTTTCAGCATGATGCATTCGGCCTGCAGGCCGGCAGTTTGACACCCCTGCCCTATACCATTTGAGACAAATGGCTGTCCAGTCTCTTCTTAAAAACTTCCAGTGTTGGAGCATTCACAGCTTCTGGAGGCAGGGTTGTTCCACTGGTTAATTGTTCTAACTGTCAGGAAATTTCTCCTTAGTTCTAGGAGTTATGTATCATTAGGATTAATGCTTATAGTTTTGTATGTAATTTTTCATAAATCTGATTATAATATTCACAAATCTGTCTGTTCACAGATTTCTTTGCATGTTTTATCACAATGAAAATTCACAAAATGTAATAGTGTTCCCATTTATTTCACAGCATATTATGGCTGTAATATTCATATGTAATAGCAGATACTTACTGACAATTGTGCAAGGATCTTCCAAATTTCCTTCTGGCCATACTTTTTTGCAACATGAGCAGGGTTTTCTCCATACTTATTAGTAATTCTACATGCTTGAATGACTTTGGGATCTTGGAGAAGAAGTGCAGCAAGTTTCTTTAATCCAAATTTAGCTGCACAATGGAGAAGAGTGGGAAGTTCCTCTAACTGCAAATCTGGATTGAGAAACAAACATGTGCATATATATCACAAAACATTATACAATTCCTTTAGAAGACAGGGGAAGAAATAAATACAGAAGGATGAAAGAAACAATGTAATCTATAAAATTAACCATTGCAACCAATTCTACGTGGGACAAACATCATGTCAATTAAAAACCAGGATCCATGAACACCGGCTGGCAGTCACATGCCACGACCCCAAATCCTTAATCTCTACCCACACCAACACCAAACAGCACCAGTTCGATTGGAGCAACACAAAAATCAGCCACGTTATCACCAGCCAAGCTTGTGAGTCCATGGAAGCCTGGCACTCCACAAGCAATTCCATCAATAGACACAATGATCTACAACCAGCCTATGAACCCCTCAGGATCCAGCCAACCAGAGACAGCACCGACTCTCAATCAACCCACACAAACCCCCCTCCCACCAGCAATTCACCTCCCAATGAACCTGACCTGAGGTAACCTCCCCATCACAAGACTCATCACAAGACTCACTGATGTCTCACATCTGGCCCATTACAAGACCCATCACAGACCCTCACTTGACACACCCACACCTGAAGCCCTTACAAACAGAAGAACGCTGACATTGACATCCCCTAAACTCTGCTGAAGATGTTACCTAGCTGGTAATGAAACGTTCAGAAACCAACCCACAAGCTTGGAGAACGAACCTTTACCCTCAAAGAAATATATACATTAAAGAGTCATGAAGCATGGTAGATGAAGACCAACTATTCAGTTGCTAAATATTGCTGACCCCTGCTCTCTCTGATGTCTCATTTTTGAACTGAGCTTCCATTGGACAGCCCTTCAAATTCAAGATTATCTTCAGTAAAGCTGGACACAAGACAACTTTTTTGGGCATATAGATAGATTATATATGTCCTTTTACATGCAGCTACCATTCCTTTCAAATTAATAATGGATTTTTGAACAGCTATCATTATGCTTTTGGAACTCTATTTACAACTTAGGACAACTGAATAATAATTGTGTGTGTTAATAGAAATAAGTACAATAGAAATAGTACAAACAGCACAAAGAAGCCTGATATATATTTATGATCCATGAATTTTAATTGCACATTTGTCTTTTTGTTGCTTAGTTAAACAAAATTCTGCAGAGATGTGCTGTGGTAATTGGAAAGATAATAGTTTCTTTCAATGGCATAGAGTAACAAATACAGCTAAAATGTGTGAAGAATATCAGTTTGCTAATCATATAGACCATTTAAAAGCTTCTGTAATAGGCACTATACATGTGAGGATGGGGCTTTTAAACATTGTCATGAAATAGGTCAAGAACTGAGGCTGTTCCTTTTATTTGTCACTTGAGTCCTTGTGAAAAAAATAAACCAAAACCAAATGTTCATTACAAGGCACATATTGTTATCAGCTGGAATAACATTACTCAATAAAACACTGAGTTCTTATTCAGCATCATTGGGATCATGCATTTTAAAAGACAAGGGATAAATTGCACAATGTAATAACAATAGCATGGTAATATGAAGAAATAAGAACTGTGCTATATTAAACAAAACTCTCTCTAGTTCTGCACTCCTGTCCTTTCTCAGAAGCTAACCAAGCATTCATACATGGTAAATCATAACAGCACTTTCCTGCTCATATTCTCCAGCAACTTGATATTATAGGCTTCTCAGAACTTGAAAAAAATAATAAAAATTTGCAGAAATTTGATATATTCCTTCAATAACAGGAAAATCCAGCATTTAACCACTTCCCCTGTCTATCAAATGGCTGTTAGCAAGAGAATTAAGAGATCCTTACCCTAGCAAATTTAGACATATTTATTAAAGTGAAAGCATCCAGTTGTCAAGATTTCTGCTATCCACCCCTTTTTTCTTTCAATAAATCTGATTAAATAAGATTTTGGGAGAACGTTGCTTTTAGTTGCCAAGAGCTCCACAGTAAGCTAAACAAAAAGCTGCACATTCATTTGGGCAGTGAGTGTCCCTTACTTGGAAATTAAAAGTTCTTTTAATTTTAGGATCCATAGCCATTCTGTGGAGCTGACAGACCGTAGGGTTTTCCTCAAAGTTGTAAGTGAAACTGGTGTACTAAGTGTGGGGCATGGATGTCTGTTACTTTTTCCCATGAGCTCCTTGATTCTGGATAGCCCTTCCAGTAAACCAGTTCCTCTTGTGTTTTGAGTCCAGATTGCTTCTACTTCTATTAGCCTTGTGAGGTAATCCAGACAAGAAGAATATCCAGAGATGCTATCTCTATCTTTATTGCAAGATTATATTAACATTATCTTGCAAAATTGAAAGATCGTGTCTCTCTCCTCGCTTTTACAGTCCAAGAAACTAGGGAAGGTCCCTTCTGAAAAGTTTGTTACACTGTCATTCCAATTTCTTCTTATCTGATCATTGCCTAGATCAGGGGTCAGCATAGCTGACTCAGGAATTCTGGGAGTTGAAGTCCACAAGTCATAAAAGAGCCGAGGTTGCCTACCCCTGGCCTAGACTGTGGCTTTTCTTCCTGTTTCTCAAGATCAATACCACATAACATTATAACTTCACACTCATTACATTCCTATACTAGAAGGGCAGTACTTTCCATGAAATCTCTCCAACGTTGGAATGCTGATTTTATCACAAGAAAGTCCTTACGGAAGATGTTATAGTTCTGTTCTGCTAGTAAAAGCAACTTGGAATAAAATGCACATGGCAGGAGATACGTCCCCTTCTTTCTTTCCCTGGAGAAGAACCACTCCAACTGCCACATCGAAGCATTTGTCTGTACCATGAATTTGTACATGGACTCTTCATGCAGTTGTTGTAAAGTGGAACTTTTTTCAGTTCCTGGAATGTTGTCTGTTCTTGAATAGACCATATACACTTGCAACTTTTCTTTTATGAGTTGAGACAATGGTCTGGTGCATTCTGCAAAATGAGGAGTGAATTTTCTATAGAAATTGGCAAATCCCAATTGTAGATGGTCCAGAAGATCTGAAATAATGAGCAATGACTACTGGTCTCTAACTTATCTCTGGTTAAGAAACCTATAGTTATGAAATGTAAGATATAAGTTGTCATCTCCTTTACGGATGAAAAATGTAAGTGCATATACTGGAGATTTGAAAGGGTAAGTAAATCCTTTCTTTAAACTGTTACCCAGAAATTCTTTCTAGATCATTAAGTCTCATGTAAGCATTGAGTACCGTCTCTTCACAGACATTTGGGTTTTGGGCACACACAAAATCACACACAATGCATTTGCTTCCTGCTTTTCCAATCACATTTGCAAATTTTAAGTATTTCTCTAGCAAGGGAGGAGAGTGACCCTGTTGAACCAGCTTGGGGTAGGGTGACAGTGCTGTTAATAGCTTGATGATGGAAAAGAAATTGTTCCTTGCTCCCAGTATACATTTGGCTTATGCAACTGCAATCCATTGCAGAGATCAGAGAAATGCCTTAAGGGACAGGAGGAAGAGTGGCTACCAATATAACATTCAGATAAAAGAGACCCAAGTCCAGAGCAGGAATGTAACATGACTAAATGTCTTAGAGAATGTCAGAGCGTGCGGTCACTTGGGGGGTTATCTGTGCCCTCGGGGCCACCTGAAACAGGATACAATTGGTTGTGGAATCTTCTTGGAACTGCTGAAAGGGCTGCATTGTAAACTGGAGATAGGTGGCATCTTATTCCTCCCCTTCTGTTGAGGAATGGGTGTTCAATTCTAAGTAGATGGATTCTTTTACTTCTCTTTCAAACCAATGGTCCTCTCTATCCAAAATATTTGCTTCCTTTTCCTCAAAGAAAAAAACAACCCAGTCCAGCTGCCTTTTGAAGAAAAAAGCACCTTTCAGCTAGTACTAATCTATATGACATTGGATTCCTAGTCTGAGTTACCTTGAAGAGCTGATACCAATCAGTTTCCAGCATAGTGGGAATCTGTAAGGAAGTACTCACACAAATGGCAAAAATTGTGTGTGATCTTATCCTGTACTGTCAGTTGTAGGAAATAATGGTTCATAACACTGGTTCAGCTCAAAGCAGCTACTATCTATTGTTTCCACCAACATTGGGCTTTCTAGTGTCCTAGTGGTGGTGCAGTGACTAGAATGCAGTACTGCAGGCTATTTCTGCTGACTGCCAGCTGCCAGCAGTTTGGCAGCTCGATTCTCACTGGCTCAAGGCTGACTCAACCTTCTGTCCTTCCGAGATTGGTAAAATGAGGACCCAGATTGTTGGGGGTAATATGCTGGCTCTGTAAATCACTTAGAGAGATCTGTAAAGCACTGTGAAGCGGTATATAAGTCTAGGTGCTATTGCTAGTGGATAAACAAAACTTTTGTACTGCAGCTTTATCTATGAAATTGGACATTAGCTTGACTCAATAAAGGCAGTGAGTTGTACTTCCTGGCCCAAGTCTAAACATAGAGTACAAGTGCTTGTGTGCTGTCAGTAGTCTGAGCTCTCTTACATGCCTGAAGTGCTCCTTGTGGAGGAGGGAACTCTTGGATGAGGGGCCCAGAAGCTTCCAGAAACTATTGCCTTGAAGCAATTTGGACACTTGCTTCAACATTATATTACACTGGGTCTGTGTATTATACTTTATTATTGTGTATTATAATTCTCTTGGTGTCAGCACTGGATTTCCTCTGATTTTTAAACTTCACTTACAAAACCAGATATGTCCATTATTTTCTCTGTCAATTCAGAACCAACAAGTATATTTTACTTATTAAACGGAATGAACATTTTTATGCTAGGATCACTTCCCAAACAGATAGCCGTTTATTCCCTATCATCACCACCTTATTCAGATCCCACTGTAATTACTGTTAATTACAACTCTTGACCTGTAAACCTACATTTTCACTATCAACAGGGAAAATCTGAATGCACGAACAGCAATTATCTCAGAAAACCACAGTTCACCACAGCATGAGGTGCTTTTTTTTAATCTAGATGAATTGGATAAGAACCCAGCAAGGAATATGTGCAAATAATGTTTTGGAAAATATTGTTATTGCTTTACTTTTATTTATTCCTCCATGATTATTGGGCCCACAGAAGAATATATAGTTTGAATTTGTACTGAACTGCAGCACTGCTAAAATACATCTTGGACTAAGGAGGCTGGGTAAAGGGGAAAGCTTGCTGCTGCTTTCCATTGTTCATGCCTGAGGTGGTTGCTTCACACTATCTTAATGGTAGGGGTAGCCTTAATTTATGATGATCCCCAGATTGTCAATATGGACAGTTAAATTTTGTGTTTGATACACACTGCCCTTAAATGGGATTTACTTAGGAATATTAATATTGTTTTATAGGTGGTATATATCTATGTATGTATGTGCATGTATTATCTACATCTACATGTATGGATTAACTAGAGTGCTTGAATGAAAACACTGATGGCAAAGACCACGGAGAGTCAACACACGGAGAGAATATTTACCTCTATGAAAACAGTGGTTCCATGCTATGAATATGAATGGAATAAAATATAGAATGGTTCCATGCTATGAATATGAATGGAATAAAATATAGAATGGTTCCATGCTATGAATATGAATGGAATAAAATATAGAATGGTTATTAGGATATGTTCAGTCTATGTTTAAAACTTCTAAAAGTGATTGTGGACACTTTAAAAAGTTTAAAACACACAAACATCCAGTTACAGATGTAATTTTAGCAAACAGTATGGTGACCAAAGCAAATGACTCCTTCTCCTCCTCTTCTTCCTCCTTCTCCTATTTCTTTAGAATAGAAGGCATTTTGGAAAAATGTTTTATGGCAGAGTAAGATAATCAGGGCATAATCTCAAGGTTGCATTTTTTTTCTTGACCAAAATCAGACTCAATGTCATGTAGAAGCTTCATGTCTAATCAAAATATCTTGATGCAATCATATCGGAAAAGATAGAAATGATCATCCAAGGGGAAGGAGATTATTGCATATTCCTAGAATTGTTTTTGTATGATACAGCCTGGAGATATTGTGTATAACAAGGAACAGATGGAAGAGAAATCTGCAGGTGGAGACCCAGCAGGAACAAGGAGGAACAGGCAGCACCAAGAAACAGATCTGCCAAACAGGCTGTTGGTGGAGCTGTCAACGCTGCTAACATTGGATGTTCTTGCTTTGACAACAGATGGAAATGTAGCCATCTTTTCTCTTTCGCTTTTAGAGTTAGATGATGTTGGGAGGGGGGATGTGGATGAGAGTCCAGTTAGTCATAACAACAATAACTCAGCTGTGAGAATCAAGGTTATTGTGCCCAGAGCTGACAGAGATTTGCGGGCTGGAGAGCTGGGGAGAAAGCCCGTGCTTCAAGCTAATTGGGGAATGTGATTTATGACTGCTAATTGGAGAAGGGAATTGTGCTTTTGCTACTTTGTGCAGAGGGGCGAATTCAGTTTTTGGCTTTAACTATATAGTGCCAATACTTTGTTTCTTGAATAAAAGATTCTTTAAGGTAAACAATGCCTCAAAGTTCTTTTAAAGAGTTTCATCTGTCGGAACCATGACATTAGCTTTTGGAGGACATTAGTGAGGATTGCCTATCAAAGGAATCAAAACCCAGCCTGCCCAGAAATTTTCTTCTTTTCTTATTGCCCCCCTCTTCCACGCTGCAAAGGACCTCAGTGGTCAAAGTACCAGTGGATATTGTGTGAGTCAGGGAGGGAGGTAGTGAAGCAGATAAAAGACTCTCTGTATAGTACTGTGTACAGTATGTATAGTTTGTTAAGCCACATTGGAAACATGCACAAATTATCTACCAGACAGTACCACAACAATAAACTTTAATCTGGATTAATTTGGAGAATCATGGGGTGAATACATTTGCAACATTTTCTCACCCTTTCAAAGAAGAGAAAAGGAAGGACAACTGGAGCTGGTATACTACTTGATACCAATAAGGAAAACCTGTATCTCTACTTGTGCTCATGTGTATACAGTAATTATTTTTCAGTTAACAATTTCAGAAGAAGACTCCATAGGGGGTTAGCTAAATAGATCTCATTGTGGACCTTACTTTGCAGTCATTCTCTGTGGCTCTAAGATTTAAGAGAGGGGATCTGTTTTGGCCTAAATGGGACTTCAGTTTACCTCTTTTCTCTGCTTTTTCAGAAGTCTGCTGTGGGCAGAAAATGCCAGCTAACATGATGCCACATTTGCCCATTACCTTCAAATCCAATTCAATGGAAGGAATTAAAAGCGATTCATGATGGCCTGTACGTACATCCACTTTCACCCAGAAGTTAATGGGATCTAAGCTATTGGTGAGTAATTAGCAATGGGATCTTAGAGTCATGGGGGACAGCTCAATAAAAATGCCAACTCAGAGTGCAGGGGCCACTGTTGTGGTAAGAAAAGGTAAATTTGAATATTAACTATAATTTCACTACCTTACTTGAAACGAACAAAGATTCATTTATTTTACCAGTGAAATCTTTTAAAAAAATGCATTGTGAGGGGCTTCTGTTTAATGTTAAAAGCTGTCAGCCAGTCAGCGAAATATATTTCTAGTATACATCATCAAATATAATTCTTCACTTCATTTCTCCTTTTATATTTTTTCCCAGTCTCTTGTGCCTGGGCAGTCTCAATCTATTTATTTATTCCAGTTATATCTTTCCAACTCTTTCTAGGATTATGGAAGTTTACAGTCATAAATCAACATTTAAGACATCCTTAGATAAAATAATCAATGAACAATTTAAAGCTTTCACAGTAATAATGTAATAATAATTTATAAATTAATATTATAATCCAGCCAAATAATATTGATGAAACAATTATTAGCCAATAATAAAAAACAATAAATTATGAACACTATCTTCTTCACATTTTTTAATTGGGGTGTGGTCTTTTGTAACACTTGAGGTTCTCACAAAGTGTGCCCTGTATTAGCAAGTATGAAAAATGACCCTGGTATGAACCTTCTCAGTAAACAAAGCAGACAAAGGATAATATACGTACATACCAATTTCCTGGTCGTGATCCGTGACTTCATTTGGAAAACTGCTAAAATCATGAGAAATAATTGAACTTTTCAGCAAGAGTGTGAGAATGTTATCCATTTTCTCTGCTGAGGAAAACTTGAAAGCCTGTGGGGTGAGATAGAGGCAAGGAAAACAAAGAATAACCTGAGGGCATGCAGATTTGTACCATTGTCCAAAAGCAAAAAGCGCAAGCTCATGTGGGAATATTTTGCACCACTGAAGCTGGAAACAGCTATTAGTTTTTAAGAGTGGCTGGTGGACTGGAAAGAAGGATAATTTCTCAGATTGGTTTAAGGGCATGGGAAATCACTGAAGATCAGTGGAAGTTTATCATGGCAACTATTTCCTGGAGAAACACAAGTCCTGAAAAGTAATTAAAGTAATTAAAAGACATTAATATGCCCGAAACAACAACTGTGATGTCCTGGGTGGGCTTCTTTAATGGAATTTACAACACTCAATGAAGTGGGCTACTTCTGAAGATCCTCCAGTAGTGGAGTAGAATCTTTTCCTACCTTTCAGAACTCAGATCATAGAATGTTAAAAAAAACCCTGCAAAATCTGTTTTCAGAGGTGACAATAGGTTATTTATGTTCATACTGAACACCAATGCCTGCATTGTTATGACTCCCGCAACTGATTAAAAAATGTTACCACATAAAATTCTTTTCAATAAGGTTATCTACTGTCACAGGTTGGCTATGAAAGGTAAATATAACTTTGAGGTTTAGATGCAAGATACTTCAGGATAGTGCCATGTAGAAAAGAAATATTCTTTGAAAAAAAGAAATATTTTGCCCCCTTTCTACCAGATTTGTCTGATTTATTAAAAAAAAGCCACATTGCTTTTTAAATTTATTTCAAAGAAGAAGAGGATGTTGGAGAAATTTCTTTGGGTGAAGTCTGGTGGCATTGCAATTATTTAGAATAGAATAGAATAGAATAGAATAGAATAGAATAGAATAGAATAGAATAGAATAGAATAGAATAGAATAGAATAGAACTGGAAGGGACCTTGGAGGTCTTTTAGTCCAGCCCCCTGCTCAAGCAGGAGAACATATACTGTCTCAGACAGGTGAATGTTTAGTCTCTTCTTAAAAATCTCCAGTGATGGAGCGCCCATGATTTCTGGGGGTAAGCTGTTCCACTGGTTGATTGTCCTCACTGTCAGGAAGTTTCTCCTTAATTCCAGGTTGCTTCTCTCTTTGATCAGTTTCCTTCCCTCTGGTGCTTTGGTGAACAACCTGGCCCCATCTGCCTTGTGGCAGCCCCTCAGATACTAGAACACGGCTATCATGTCTCCCCTATTTCTTCTTTTCTTTAGACTAGCCAAACCAAAGTCCCGTAGCTGTTCTTCGTATGTTTTAGTCTCCAGGCCTTTGATCATCTTTGTTGCTCTTTTCTTCATTTTTTCCAAACTCTCAACATCTTTTGTGATATGGCAACCAAAATTGCCTGCAGTATTCCAGGTGTGGTCTTACTAGGGTTTTATAAAGTGGTACTAATACTTCACGTGATCTTGATTCTATGCCTCTGTTTATACAACCCAGGATTGTATTAGCTTTTTTGGTTACTGCTGCACACTGCTGGCTCATAGTCAAGAGATCATCCACTAGGACTCCAAGATCCCTTTCACAGTTATTGTTTTTAAGCCAGGTCTCACCCAATCTGTATTTATACTTTTGGTTTTTCCTGCCTAATTGTAAAACTTTGCTTTTCTCCATATTAAAACTCATTTTGTTGGCTAGGGCCCATTGTTCAAGTTTGTCAAGATCTTTTTGGATCCTGAGCTTGTCTTCTGGGGTGTTGGCTACTCCTGTCAGTTTGGTGTCATCTTCAAATTTGATGAGTTCCCCTTCAATTCCCACATCTAAGTAATTGATGAAGATATTGAAGAGTACTGGGCCTAAGACGGAACCTTGTGGTACCCCACTGCTTACTTCTCTCCATGTGGATGTAGTGCCATTGAGGACTACTCATTGAGTACGGTTTGTCAGCCAACTACAGATCCACCTGGTGGTGATGTTGTCTACTCCACCTTTTCCTACCTTACCAAGGAGTACTTACTACATCCACTGCGTTTTGCTGGTCTACTAGTTTAGTCACTTTATCGAAGAATGAGATAAGATTGGTTTGGCATGATCTGTTTTTAACAAACCCATGCTGGCTACTAGTTATGACTTTGTTTGTTTCTAGTTGTTTGCAGATCTGTTTTTTTATGATCTTTTCTAGGATCTTCCCAGGTATTGATGTTAAACTGATCTGTAGTTTCCTGGGTCTGTTCCCCCCCCTTTCTTGAAGATGGGGACCATATCAGCCCTTTTCCAATCCTCCGATATTTCACTGGTGCTCCAGGATTTATGAAAGATGTGGTACAACGGTTCTGAGACAACATCGCCAGCTCCTTCAGAACTCTGGGATGTAATCTGTCGGGTCCCGCTGATTTATATTTGTCAAGGTTGGATAGGTGTTCTCTTACCGTTTAATTTTTGTTTCTAGTATGTCTTTTGCAGTGGTTTTTTTTCTTGTTATGTTGGGCTATAATTTCTTTTTGTGTGAAGACTGAACCAAAGTATGAGTTAAGCAGTTCTGCTTTCTCCCTGTTGCCTGTAATTTCCTTGCCATCTTCTGTCTTTAGTGGGCCTACATTTTCCTTGACTTTTTTCTTGTTGTTAATATGTTGGAAGAAACTTTTTTTTATTGTCCTTGATTTCTGTTGCAAGTCTTTGTTTGTTCTGAGCCTTTGCTTTCCTGGCTTCATCTTTGCATGTTCTGGCTGTCTGCTGATAATCGGCCTTAGTTATGTGTCCCTCTCTCCATTTTTTGTATTTGTCCTTTTTGTCTTTCAGTTTGTTAGAGAGATCTTTGTGCAACCATGCTGGTTTCTTCTTGGATTTCTTGTTTTTCTTTCTCAATGGTATTGTGCTAGTCTGGGCTTTTGTGATAGCATTTTTCAGGGGTTTCCCACACTTCTTGGGTTGTTTTCCTCTTTAGGATTTTTATCCATGGGATCTTTCCTAAGTTCTCTCTGAGTATATTAAAGTCAGCTCTTTTGAAGTTTAAGACATTGGTTGGATTGTTTTTTATTGCTAGTGTTTGCATTATATTAAATGCAAACACGTGATCACTTTCAGCCAAGGTTCTGGCAATTTCGATTCCCTCTATCATTTCTTCTCTGCTTGTAAGGATTAAGTCCAGCATAGCTTTATGTCTCGTTCCCTCCTCCACCTTTTGGGTGACAAAGTTGTCGGCTAGGTTGGTTAGGAATCTGTTTGATCTCCCGCTCACTGCAGAGTTTGCCTCTCAGTTGATATCTGAATAGTTGAAGTCTCCCATTACTACTGTGGTATGCTTCCTACAAGCATTTGTTAACTGGTGGGCAAAGAGTTCATCTATTTCTTCTGATTGTTTGGGTGGCCTATAATATACACCTATGGTAATGTCACTTTTTTTCTTTTATATTGACCCATATACTTTCTGGAGGGATTTTATCTTTGATCATGTGCATTTCTGCAGATATGTAGTGTTCTCTTACATATGAAGAGAAGGACAAGGGGTGACATGATAGCAGTGTTCCAATATCTCAGGGGCTGCCACAAAGAAGAGGGAGTCAAGCTATTTTTAAGGGTAATTTTTTAAGGGTAATTTTAAGGATAATTTTAATGATTGGCCTTCTTAAATATTTCCTTTTAATTCGGTTTTTAATGTAGATATTATTGTATTATTGTATTGTGGTTTTTATGAGGCTGTTAGCCGCCCTGAGTCCTATGAGGAGAAGGGCGGGGTACAAATTAAATTATTATTATTATTATTATTATTATTATTATTATTATTATTATTATTATTATTATTATTATTATTATTATTATTATTATTATTATTATTATTATTTTCCAAAGCGCCTGAAGGCAGGACAAGAAGCAACGGGTAGAAACTAATCAAGGAGAGAAGCAACCTAGAACTAAGGAGAAACTTCCTGACAGTTAGAACAATTAACCAGTGGAACAACCTGCCTCCAGAAGCGGTGAATGCTCCAACACTGGAAGTTTTTAAGAAGAGACTGGACAGCCATTTGTCCAAAATGGTATAGGGTTTCCTGCCTGATCAGGGGATTGGACTAGATGACCTCCAAGGTCCCTTCCAACTTTACTATTATTATTATTATATAGTGCAAGTCCCCCTCCTCTTTTTGTAGACCTGTTTCTTTTGAACAATTTGTATCCATCCATCAATCCATTCCATTCATGGGTTTCGTCCCACCAGGTTTCTGTTATGCCAACTATGTCATACTCTCCCTTGTGTACTATTGCTTCTAGTTCGCCCTGTTTGTTCCCCAAACTTTGAGTATTGGTATATAAGCATTTAAGACTTTTATGCCTGTCCATGGGTGTTTCCTGTATCTCCTGATTGTTGTTTGAGTTTTTCTTTTTTTTCATCACTGCCTACCTCATTGTTTGATTTGTTATGTGAATTTCATGGCACCATTTCCTCATGTCACTATCACTAGGCTCTGTGGTGTGTTTTTAATTAATTACACAGTAGGATGTCATTTCTAGTTTTTCCATTGGGAATCAGGTTTATGTGCAGGGAGGAGATTGAGAAAGTAAAGGTGGTAGCCATAACTGAATGAAATCAAAGGCCCATCCCTTTGTCATATGTAAAAGGATTTGGGTTCAGGTTGTGATTGCCATCTTGTTTGTTTGTTTGATTATTATTTTTTGCCACTTGCTTGCAAATATCTTTGTTGGCAAGTAGCCGGGCAAGTTTTAGATTGGTGAAAGGTACATAATAGAAGCCATTAACAGTTGCACTTGGTACCACTAGTCCTCAGAATAAAACTGAAAACTTCTACCATCCTGGGAATAAGATTATAAAATGCAGAAACCTTTTTTTCTATGGAAGAAAACATTTGAGAAGCTGCAAGCCAACATTTCAAGCTACTATTTGCTAGCCCTACATTGCCTTAAGGTATTGTTTGTTTTGGTAACTGCAACTGTGCTCTCTTGCCTTTACATTTTATTAGTTGTCAGCTCTCCATCCATCAAGAACAGGGCAATATATCACCAGGAAGAAAGCAACATGTCTGTTGTTCAAGACACATTTTG